TTCAACTGTAAGCCACACAGAGAAAGGAGAGATTGCTGTGGGTTAGAACTACTTGAGATGACTGAAATGACGAACTGGGCTGTGCTGGAAGGGAGTTGATCCTATTGAGGAGTAGAGGACATTCAAGACAGAGAAAGTAAGGAACAAAAAAGATGTTTAGCCCTGAAGCCCTTGAAGGAATGTACATACTATGGTAGGAGATTTGTGGGAAGTATGGCTAGAGGGTAGGTGACCATCACATTGCAGAGGGATTTGAATTCAGGGCTAGGATCTTAGGATTTTTGTTTTATAGGCCATGGGAAGCACTGAAAGGTTTTTGTTTGCATATGGCCTATTGCAAACAGCATACATTTATTTTTTTCATGGACAAGGGACCTAAAGATCAGAGCCTCTTATTCAATAATTTAACCAAAGGGCTAAGTAGCCATTGCCATGAATAACGTGCCTCAGGACAGTGGTTGGCAAACTCATTAGTCCACAAAGCCAAATATCAACAATATAACAATTGAAATTTCTTTTGAGAGACAAATTTTTTAAACTTAAACTTCTTCTAACACAACTTGTTCAAAATAGACTCACCCAGACCATGGTATTTTGTGGAAGAGTCACACTCAAGGGGCAAAAGAGCCGCAGATTGCTGACCACCCCCTCAGGACATTAACTTTTTGTCTTGTTCAGGGGCTGGAGAGAGGTGTGTATGTTTGGGCTGGGGAGATGGAATGAAGTGTGGCAATCTTAGAGTTTTGTAGAATCGGTGTGTCAGGCTATATATCATATGAAGAAGGGGGAAATCCATAGACGGGAGATAATAAGGAGACCCTGATAAAACAAATTATAAACCTAAAAATGTCTTTAAAAATACTGAGATTTAAGGGTTTAATAGTCAGAGACTTAAGTTTACCAAGTAGTTTAACTCATGGAAGTTATGCAGGTCGCCAGCAGTTTAGCCAACAGCTGTTTCAAACTTTTGGACACTGAGAGTACCCGGGGAGCCAGCCCTCAGTCTGTCCTGCCTGAGCTCCGGCTGCCAAGCTCCTGCAGTTCTCTGTCAGATGGGAGGCAGTGTGTCTTTCTGTGGAGCCACCTCTCACAATAGCAAAGCTTCTGTAAAGAGCCCCATTTTCTAGGTTCAGTGAACCTAATGAGAACTTGAAATTCATCCCATGGTCCCCTCAATGAGTGTTTCTGCTGTAGTAAGTTAATTGGCAATCGTTGTTTTTTTCTTCTTCTTTTTTTTCAAAAATTCCTGGACATGGTGCAAGACACATTGTCATGACAAAAACTGATGAATACTAAAGACTGAGAATTCTGGAGGTGGAATCTCAGAAAAAGATTCCCTGTCAATAGAAAAGTATATACTTCTGCCTGGATTTGAAAACTAGTTTAGGTAAAGTTGTGAAATAATACTAGCCATTTTGACCTCTTATAGATGTGGTTCAGATCCCTTCTGTTGTATATAGAACGGCTTTGCTTATTTGGAAACTCAGAATCATTGTTGAAAGGATCTAATGTCAGAATAGACATAAAGCATCAGCATTGAGACCAAATGTAAAGACAGGACTAAACATTAGCATAGGTAGAGGATAAAGGTAGGATGGGTCCACATTTGAAGACTGTTTGCAATGAGCAGGTTAATACATAGGTACCAGGTATTGGAATAGTTTTTTTTTTTTTTTTCCTTCTATTTTTCCTGGTTTCTGGTATTGCAGGGGGTGGAGAGGAAAATATGGGATGGAACATTTTCCTATTTATTAAAGACTATATAAATATTATGAAATCTTCATTCTAAATTAATATGTAAATTAAGATAATATCTTACAGCTTGCTCATACATTTATATAGTAAACTGAAGGGAAAACTGTTTCCCATGGTGCAAACACAAAACAAAAAGGACACATTCAGTTTCAGCAGTAATTGGCTTGTGTGCTAGCCCCTTTCACTCATGACAGTGGCTACAAGACTCAAAAGGGAACCCTTGTCAGGAGAATGGGGGTGGGAGGAAATGGCGCTAGTGAACTGACTTTAAACACTTGGTTACACACAAGTTGTGATTGTTTGTGGCAAATAATGGTGGACACCAAGAAATGTGAAGGGTGGGACACTGAATTATCAGGTTGTTCTCCCACCATCAGACAATCTCCAACTAAATACTCTCAAATACGCACAAAATAATTCACCAACCTGCCCTAAAGTTTAAAGAAATTTTAGGTGTCCCAGTCACTCCCTCCTATAAAATGTTTATTTTCAAGGGAGGATAATGAATTATCAGGCAAGTTTCCCAGGCTTCAGGCAACTACAATTGTCCAGAGTTCATAACTGGACACAGAACCACTTTAAGATTTAGTACAGGCATCATCTCTAAGAGTAAACAGATCTCACAGTGTTTATACCCTGTTCATGAAATGGTGCCGATGATCTCTGAAATATTTTAGCCAATCTGTATATCTATAATGCCTTTAATTTCATTCAGAAGCAGTATTCATCATGCTTGTTTTCCTGCCCTGTGTTCATCAGGCAGTACACACATTTCTGACACTCTGTTTACTGATGAGTAAACCATCAAGTGTTGATTGAGATGCAGAGCACAGAGAGCCTCTTTAAGAGTATGGGAATTGTTATTCAAATCCCAACAACTGTTTCTGGTCTGTGTATTTTTGAGTAGATGCTAGCCACACCTGGGTTATACTAACTTTGCCTAACATACACATTTAAATATTGTATTTTAAAGTAAATTGTAGATGTTACAACAAATAATAGAACCATATCAAGTATAACACATCCTTTTGGATGCCAGTGTGTAAGCCATTGTTTAGAGTTTTTGAAATGAGTGGCATAAGTTTTTGTGACTTTATTATATTTTTTAATTTACCATACATTTTAATTTAAACTTAGTATTCTTTCCTCTTTGATGTCCAACATGCCATCAAATGCAGTCTTTCTTCACTTTTCAAGTCTATCTATAGTTGAAACTTCCTCTAATGCACACAATTTTGCTGGTTTGGTTCATAAACAAGCCTGTACTCTGTTGATTGCTTACTACTATGTGACTGAGTAAACAATTCTAGGTGAGAGTGAACTGGGTAAGAAATCAGTAAACTGCAGTTTTCTTCCTTAGTTACCTCCTAGCTTAATAAAAGTAGGGAAATCATTCAGTTTTAATGTGTTCAGAGTAATGACCTTTTTAAGTATATCCTTATTTTCCCCAAAAATATTTTTCAGGGTAAATAAAAATAATGTGCAATAAATATAGTGGAACTTGTGTGTCCTGATAACTTAAAGAGCTTTGGAAAGTAAAATATGGTTTGATGGGCACTCCATTAATATTTGATCAAAGACTAATTTACCACTAGGAAGAAAAATTTTTTAAGTTGTCATGTGATAAATTATAAAAACAAAAGCTGTATGATTTGGGCAAGTTAACTAACTTGGTTTCCTAATAAGTAAAGGTAATAAGTACTTCACAAAGTTAAATATTAATAAAATAGCAGATATAAAACCTACAACAAAGTATCCAGGATATGTGTTTTCAAAAATGGTATCTATTTTAAGGGGGAAAAAAATTTAAAAAGAAGAGTTTCAAGAGGCTAGTCAGCTGTGTCCAGGTTATCTCAGGTCACTCGGAGAAGCGTGACTGCACAGTGAGAACTCAGTGTTTTCTTCTTGAATGTGATAAACTTGTGCCTTAAAATCCACTCCTTCTGCAGAACTATATACTACAAATAATAAAACCACACCAAATCTATTGTTTTAGATTGTTGTTAGTTCTCTAGTTACATCCTAATAAAAATATTAACTCCATTAATTATTAGCAACATTTGCAACCAGCATCACAGTCAGCTAACCATTTCCATCACACTTTCTCTTAAATGGAGATGAGAGTTATTGATGCATTTGATTCCAGTAGTTTCATCAAAATTAAGTATCTGACTCAAGAAACAGGGAGAAAAGTCTCCACAGGTTGTTCAGCTGTAATTGCAGCTTTAGCATAGAGCTAAACTTAGAAAAAGTGTAGGATTCTTAGCTTCACTAGGCCTGCCTGTCCCTATTTGTGCTAAAGCAATGGATTTGAACAATTTTTAGCCACTTGTCTTCAATTTCTTAAACCTTTATACATTGCTAAGTCTTTCTCTAATTGTGATGAAAGCTTGCCCTGGTCACTACAAACCATTAACATGCTAGGAAAAAAAAAGTATATGAACTGGCAAGACATCCAAAGTCCAAATTATATTGATATTATTTATTATTTGTCAATAGCAAGGAGTTCTTTTTTAATAGAAATATGTATTATAACAGAATATGCTGTGTATTAAATGAAAGAATTCTAAACTCCCCTAAGGTTCTTTGTAACTAAGTTGTTTATAAGAGAATAAAAGAATGTGAATCCAGCATGATTCTATTGTTGCTTCTGTTTCATGTGTATCAAACACTTTTAGAAGCAATTTAGTGGTTTGGCTACATTAGAGACATCTATTAGTATTTTTATTTATTTATTTATTTATTTATTTATTTATTTATTTATTTATTATTTTTACATTTCTCTTGTGCTCACTGCTCACAGTGGAAAAGTCTGTGTAACTATCTCTGCATCACTATTAGAATTCTAATTCCTGCTAATAAGTGCTGTTTAGTATCAATTTGATTTATATTATTCTTGTAGCATTATTTTTCCATCCAAATACTTTTAGAGGTGCCTCTGAGGTGCTTCTATCTAGTCCCATCACTGAGAGACCAAACTGCCTATAATGCATTTGGAAAGATTGTTGCCCAGATAGGCAAAGATCATTTTGTCCAAATTGTTCCATATATTCGATATACCTTATGTTTTATATTGGTATTAAAGTATAACACTGTAACTGGTTCACGTCAAATCTGTATGGTTTATTAAAAATAGTTTTGCTTCACTTTGTGTCACTTTATCAGTGCTAAAGCAGCAAGTTGATACTTACAGATTATATGCAGAATTTTGTTGGATCACATTTTTTTATGTCATTTTATTTTAGCTACTATAAGAAGAGATGATTCCATTCTTTCAAGTCCTGATGTCACTGATATTGCACCAAGTAGAAAGAGGAGGCAGCGGATGGGAAAAAATCTCGGGACAGAACCTAAAATGGCTTCTCAGGAACATCAATCCGAAGAAAAGGAAAAGTAAGTCATCTTATTCTTTGCAAAATAGTGAGATGACATTGAAAAATCTAATATCTAATCTAAAATTATATTTTAACTTCTGAACTTAAGGCTATTTTTAATGAACAAAAATTATGGTTTTGGGAATTGTAAAATGTTTAAATCCATATATTTTCCCTGGTGTTCAGTTAATTCATATTAATATTTAAGACAGAAGTGTCAAAAATATTAGCAAAAATTTTTTCTTGTGCTTTTTTAGAGTAATTAGAAATGGCATATAAGATACTAAAAATATTAGAATCCAGTTTGCATTTAATAAAGTATTTCAATCTAATTTACTGCTTTAAAGAGACCCACAGAGCATTCAAAGTAACCACTTGATTTGGTTATGCTTATAATTTTTTTATGTGAAATGTCTTTCTAGTTACCTATTTATTTCTTTTAAATTTAGACACATTTTTTATTTCTATAGTTTACTCTTTAGTTTTGACTACCCTGTCTTTAATCTGCATTCTAATTTAGTTGTAATGAATTAAGAAGTTGAATTAATAAACATTTTATTGCAGCAAAATAATCAGTATTTATAAGAAATTTTATCAGTTGAATAAAAAACAAAGGTGCAGCCGAGGAGATCACAGTTTGATTCCTGGTCAGGCCTGGGTGGCGGGCTTGGTCCTCAGTGTGGGGTATGTAGGTGGCAGCAGATCAATCAGTATTGTTTCTCATCATTGAGGTTTCTCTCTCTTTCTCTCCCCTCTCCCTCCTTCTCTAAAAACAATGAAAATATATTTAAAAAAAATAAAACAACAACAACAAAAAGGTGTAAATCTTATGTATGCCTGAAAATTTATTTATTTTTCTTTAAACTTTTCATTAATTTGGCAAATAGTAATTGAACAACAGCTAAATGACATGATATTACACATCAGTGCTTTTCAAAGTGTGGAATGATGAGGACCTGGGGCATTCCCAAGGCGTTTGTGGTGATCCACAAGGGTCTCCTCTTCAATTCTATCCCTGTGTGAGGCCAGATTTTCTTCATGTATTTCAGTTGAAATAACATGTCCCTGTGATTGAATGCAGAAGCCAGTGAGAATTCTATAGTTTTTAATGAGCCACCCATCACACAGGTTTGTAAAGGTGTTAAGACATTGACCACAAAGGATTTTTTTCCCCCCTTTGGGAAATACAGTGATTTTTTAAATAAAGAATATATTGTGTTACCATATTCTGGATTTATTTTTAAATGAATTAATAAAGATCTCAAATTTTTCTCAGTGTTAATATTGGATATAAATAAAAATTCTTGGAGTCCTCAAAAACTTCTAAAAGTATAAAGGAGTTTTGAGAGTAAAAACTTTTAGAATTCTGTAATGACCATGAGGGTGCCAAATAAGCACAAGAAATCCATGCCTTCAGGAGACTTAACAGCCTGACCAAAAGGAGTTTTTTAGTTTCTTGCATAGACGTAAGAATTTTACAGTTAATAGTGGAATTATTTTGTTTGTCTGTTTATCATTGGGGTTTTATTCTCTCTACAATTGGCCTAATATACTAATACTTGAAAATGCCATTTGTATACTATGGTGGGTCCTTATGTCTTCAGTCAATATATGTAAAAACCCAGTGTGCACTAATCTTACTGGTCGTTTATTATGTAAATTTACTAACTCCATAGAATTCATAATATGGCATTATCTCTTGTAATAAATAAAAAACATTTCCAATTTGCAAACATTAGAATAAGCAAGCTAGTCCTATAGGTTAATATGGAAAAAATAAAATTATACTTTGAAATATTCAGAATGTACTTCATTCAGTCAAGTAGTAAGCAAATAAGTAATGAATATCAGTTATGTGCCAGGTATAATAATGTATGCTGATGGTTAAGGAAAGTGGGAAATAGACATAATCTTGTCCTCGTGGAACTTTTAGTCTAATTGTTTTGTCTGATAGAGATTTCAGGGTGTTGACAAAGAATGAAATATATTGGTTTTATGTTGGAGAGCTGCATCTTCAGTCTTTCTGTTTGATGTGTGAACTAAATATAAGTTGTGAGGTTACCAACATTTTCTGAATACATATATTGCTTAAACAGGTTTTTTTATATGCATGATACAATGGTGGAAGAAGTTTAGATGTGGATGAAAGACTAAATGTTTTATTTAGGCTTTTTGCTAAAGGCGATGTGTTTTCTTTTCCAGGTTTAGATGATCATGTCAATACTTATTTTGTATACTTTACTTACAAAGTTGACATAAACCATATTAGCTTTTTTAATTGCCTGCTAGTTATATCATTGTGTACCTTCAGGCTCAAACACTGATGTTGAACCTTTATCTTATGTTGTTAAATTTAAATACTATCTATTTCTACCTTCCTAAACACCTTTTCACGCTGATAAATTCTCATCAACAATATGTCTATCAGTTAGGTTAATATGCTTTAGCTGTAGCTTCCCAGATGTGGGTAGGTTGCTACTTAGGGGTGAAAAGATATTGGCACCTAAATCTGTTATACTTGGATCAGTTTACCACTTTCAAAACATAAACACAAATTACCAAAAAAATCACATGTTTGTTAGTTATTAGCAATCAAAATTCATGAAGATTGCACAGAAAGTTTTGTGTTTATAGTTCATATTACCATGGCTTATTCACCATTACATTCCATTTAATTTACCTGGAAAGCCTGATTTCATTCCTTGTTTTTAATTGTAGACATATACTGGGTGTGAAACATTTTTGACGGACTCTCACAATGTTATTTCATTTGTATCCTCTTCCCCTCAGTAGGGTGTGCATGCATCCTAAGACCCCACATGATTTTACAGTGACTAAGGATATGCACAATAGACACTGTTATTTATTGAGAACAAAATAAAAATAAAAATAAATCCTACTATGGCTTTCCCTCATTCCTTTATTCATTCATTCATTTATCGTTCATTACAGAATGCTTGCATGCTGAACACTTGGGAAACATTGATGAGCCAACTAGCACAGTCCCAGCTCTCATAAAGCTTAGTCTGTCTGAGTGAAGGCAAGCATTAATTATATCATTACAAAGATATATATTTGAAACCTTTTGAAGGATTTTTGAATTTAGAGGAAATTTAGGGAAGGGGATATGACCAGAGGAATCCTCATTTGATCACTGATCTGAAGGATAAAGAGGAGTTTAGACCAGTTTAGAGAGAGGAAAGGCCTGTGAGTGTGCCCCCAGGTGAAATTTTTGAGTGATGGGAGTGAAGGGAGCTGGAAGGAAGGAAGTGAAATGAGGATGAGGGTCACTCAGAGAACTAGGTGGTAGTGTGGCCTTGGTTAAAAATTTAGCCTTTCTTTGTAGTGTTAATGTAAGAAACAAACCTGTGAAGAATTTTTGTGAATTTATTTGTACCAAACTGTTAACTGCTGTGAAGCAAAATCTCAAGGGATTGAGATAATGCTCCTGAGAATGGCAGTTTTGTACCTTATTTTATACATTACAATCAAAAGAGAGGACACAAGAGGGTTACATTGAGGATGCAAGTGGGTTACATTCAATTCACTGGTGATAAATTAGGGAGGTGGGAGAAAGCAAAGTGGGGAAACCTCTGGGATTGGATGAAAAGTATATGATACATACATCTTTTCATAGGTGGGTACCGGATAGTTAACAGTCAACAATACACATGATAAAACAATGAGAGGACTTAGGGTTTCAGCCCAGGTGCACTGGTGGGTCTGGAAAAGGAGGAATTAACCTGGCATTCCAAAGGAATGTTATCTTAGATACAAAAGACAATAGACAGATAAAAATTGCCCTTTGTCAGGGAAGATACTGGCCTAGGACATTACTACCCACCATAAAGTGCTTTTAGTTTAAAGTTTTAATTTCAGACCATTCTTTGCAGTTAATATAGGTCTCTTGAGTTTGCAAGGCTTTCCCTGAGCTAGACATGTTAGCATGTGGCCCCTTTTCATCCACAACATGATAGCATTCCGTTTTTCACATCACAAAGGACTTTTCTCCTGTTTTTCCTACCTTTTGATGTAGTTATTTAAATCTTCTTAAAAGTCTTAAAAAATATCAGAGTGACTAGAAAACTTAATAATTTGGTCATCTTCTTAGATATTATAATTAAAATTATCTGAGGCTATTGTACTTTGTTTCTTTTTCTCTTTTTACTCTGTTTTCAAAGTGGTTAATGTTGTACAGTTTTGGATTCCCAATAATAAAAACTTTCATCCTTTTGAAACACAGGAAACTAGAAAATTGAAAACATACTGAAACTTATGTTGAGTGCTCACAGGGATAATAGCTTAAATTGGCATGTGTTAGCAGTACTGAGGTGCAGAATTGTACTTCCATTTTACCTTTTTACTGGTAAAGGTAAGTGCATTTTTCAGGAATATTTTTAGATCTGTGATGATTTCTCACTTCTAGTAAGACTCTGAAATCCTTAAATCTGGCATACATTAATAAACACTCATTAAAAAATTTAGTGTGACTGATTCACACAATATGATTTTGCTTGAACAATAGTCATCCTGTTCTGTCAGCTAGCATCAACACTAAGAGTTATTATCCAACATAACCATATGCTGTACATTCCTTGCTATTTTCTATTTTACATCACTTGAAATTGTGATTTGTAGAATTGTTTGGTATGACTTTTTAATTCCATTTGTTAAACAAAATGAACTAGCTGACAAAAACTACAGAAATAGTGAAATCACTTTAATATTTACATAGTAAAATCCTGAGTATAAGAAAGAACATTGTAAAATTACTCTTTATAAATAGACAAGGGTACAATATGTGTCTAAATTAAATAGCACTACATTCCAGCTCTATTAGGCACCAGCTTAAATTTTTAATGAAGTAATGCTTTATCATACAGCATAATAACCAAGGAAGAATTTTACATTTAAATATTTTTCAAATTTAAGAATTCTTAATTCTTCCAAAATCCTAAAAAGAGTGAACACATTAAAAGCCCATTAATAACATTCTGTTGATATGACATAAGGTCAGTT